GAATTAATTTTTCCTATTTCAGGAACATTTTTGAAGTTACAGATTTAAAATATGAAAGAACAAGATAACCCTACTTCATTCTCTAAATCTAGAATTCTATCATAAAGAATTTCAATGCCTGCAACCAAATTATGGTACTTAGCAATTCTTTAAATCACTTTTTCCCAGTTTCATCTGTGGGGAGAGCTGCTGGTTTTATTTCTCTGTCTCTGTAGATGGAGGGGAAAAATACTGATAATTTGCCTTAGGGGAAAAAAAAACCTATTTAGAATTCCAAATATGTTTTGACATGGAACATCTTCACTTGAAAGAAGCAACTTTGTGCTTTACATTTCAGGAGAGCAGGCTATAAAAAAGCCAATCAGTCTGAAAATCCAAGCATAAACCAGCAGCAAATGCATGAAAGGTTTTCCATACAGAAGGAAGGCCAGCTGTGTACAAAAATACATATCTCTTACATTTCCTCAGCTCTCAGACTTCCTCCTGTACAGCAATTTAAAAAAAAATTCAATGAACATCTAAGAAGCACAACAGATAGGTACCTTTCAAAACCAGCCCCTAACTTCTCTCACAAACTTTCACCCTTTTGGGAGGTTCACAACCACACAGCAGCAACGATGAGACAGCAACAAAATCTGGCTCCTGTTTTATTTAGGAGCATCTTATGACATACCATACATTGGACTTCTAGAATTCTATTTTAAACACCACTTTTGAGAAGAGTGCTTTCATTAATTATTAACCAGCACTTAGTTAACCACTGAGTCTGGGAGCGAATACAAAAATTTCCCTCTCTCCTTCTTGGCTATTTACAGCCCCACCTATTTCCACTTGAAGTTGTATTGGCTGCAGCTGAGATGCTCCATTCTAACCAAGAGGATGTGGGACACAGAGCAAATGCCAGGACTTCACCCAAGAACCAAAAAATTATAGGGAAGAATGTTCCATTATAATGACACAATATTCAGCCTCTCCACTTTTAGTTGTTTCCTTTCTGTTTTTATCCTTCAGACAGCTGTCCTCAGAAAGAAAAAAAACAACTTCTGTACTTCTGAAATGTCTGGAACAGGCACTTGCAGCTGTTACAGACAGGTGACAAGCAGAATCCTTCAAGAAGTCTTGTCTAGATGTGACAGAGAAGGAATTTGTGAGACCACTTTCAGATAAGACATGTGACCCTGGCCATCATTTGGAATTAAAAGTGTGCATTTCCTTATATTGTTGCAGTTTGGAGACAATAAAGGGTGTCTTTTCTTTTTAGTCAATAGATTTGGGATAAAGCTCCCTTTTCTCCAAATCTTCTGCCTCTCACTTCACTTTTTGCTAAAAGCCAGGTGAAAACTCTGTGGTCTGCTGCTTCTGGGATGAAGGAGCAGCAGACTTGAAGCCCTCTCTTCTTGAAGAGAAGGCTTCCAAAAGCAAAAGGCTTCCAAACCACTCATAACCAGATTATCTGTAAAACAGACACAAGAAAGCTTCAGTTGTGCTGCCAGCATGTGTGGGCAAGCAGAGCTGGGAACTGGACCTCTGTAAAAAGACAGAAAGAACATGGCCTACTGCTACACTGGAGCACTTGGAAACTTAGCCAGCACAAAGATCTGCTTTTGGCTCAGGATATGGGAAAAGCCCAGAGGAAAACAAAGCACAAACGTGTGCACCTCATGCAAATGAGAAATTGCAATGATTTGGGTGTTGAGGATGTGTTGTAAGAGGGCTGGAGGTGAGCCAGATGGGCCTGGCACACAGAATCCTGGCACAGAGCTCTGGGTATGCAAGCAAGCCAAGGCTTCTGAGCCTCAGCAAAGCATGGAGCATTTTCCTCACTCTGGAAGAAATTCATCTGCCCTGAAGTCTTTGCAGAAGTGTACCCCGTGGTACAGCATCAAATGAGCTCCATCCTTCAAAGTGTCACAGGCTGCCCTGTCAGCTGTGTCAAAGAGAATCCCATCACAGACCGAGCTCTGGGGCTTCCTCCTGCGCAGGGAGAGTGTCAGTTTGTCCAGGATTCCTCCTGTGCAGGGAGAGTGTCTGTTTGTCCAGGATTCCTCCTGTGCAGGGAGAGTGTCTGTTTGTCCAGGATTCCTCCTGTAGGGGGAGAGTGTCAGCTTGCCCGGGATTCCTGCCCCCGGGAGCGCTGCTGGAATGTCGGGAAGGACTCAGCCTCAGCCTCAGCGTGGGGGAGGCGCTGCTCCAACTGAGCAATGCGAGGCGAGCAGCAGGAGCTAGATCCCAACAAATATGGGAGCTTCTGGGAGCCACAGTCAGCAACTCCAGCTGGGCCATTTGCTTAGGCTGCCTGCCAAAAGGTTTATAAAAAGAACAGTGAAGAATGTGCCATGGCTTTAAATACGAATTTCAAATACAGTGCAGCCAATACCCACAATTGTTGAGGCTTCCATGCCTCAGCTTTTCTCTAAGGCTCAGTCAGGAATGCAAGGAGTTTCTCCTGCTGATCTAATTTTATTCCCTTGCAGATATCCACCAGCAAGAAGGAATCAAGCAGAGCTAGGGCAGTTTCCTAATTACTTCCAGCTCTCAGAGAGGGACCCAAAAGATAATAGTGAAGCAAGCATAGCACAGCCAAGATGCTAAACCAGCCTATAATTTGTGTGTTGCTGTACACAGCTCTTGTGATAATTTACTAATAGGTGACCCCAGCCTTTTCCCCAACTGGGGCCTGTCCTAATACCATGGACATTTCCATGAGTTTAACTGCAACAGAGCACAGTGGCAAACAGGAATGGCTGCTACACAATAAGTGAAATATGCAGGTGATTTCACCATCAGAAAATACTACTGCAATTCACAAATATTTTTCAAATACTACTGCAGTTTTCACTATGAAAAAATGCTTTGTTGTAAAACCTGTAGAAGAAGCTAGGAATCTCTTAGGGACCATTTTTCCCTGTTCTGTCATTGACAGACAGCAGAGAAGAGAAGGAGCACCCAGAAAAACTAAGCAGCTAAGAAACTGAAGTCCTAGAGTAGGGGCTGGTTTCTTTCCATCTCTTCTTCTCAGGCTCTGTAGTCCTTCAGCTAGGTACAAACCTCTGATCAACACCTCCTCTACATGGACAGGTTTTTGTAGTGTTTGGGGACCTTGTCTTTTACATCTCTTTGCAATACAATGAAGTGGGGCTCCAGGTATGGATCTGTCTCAGGAGGAGCAGTTTTATCACTGTGATAACAAGATAGAACTCTTGACACATGAACCGGTTCCTCAAATGCCACCAACGACTTTTTAGCAAGATTTTTTACCTCTTTCCATTACCTCAGAGGTTTTCTATATTCTATTTGTGAAGCAACCTTAGCATGGCTGGAGGTGAGTTTATTCAAGTTCACAGGAGAGATGGCCCTGCCTGTGCTGAACTTGTGCCAGCCACAAGGAATGTCATCACCAAGGTTCAGCAACCTCCCAGGCACAAGAAGGAAGCCAAATCATTAAAGGAGTTTTTGTCCTCAATATGACACATAGAACCTCACAGTGAGTATCAAAAGTCATCTGTTGAAAAAAGTGAGTTATATCACAGAGCATAAAACCAGCACAGCACCAGCACAGTAAACAGGTCAAGTGTGGTAGCTGAATGATTTATTTGATTCTTCAATGAGCACACACAGAAGCACCCACTGCTGCTGCAGACACCTGGATGAGATGGGGTAGTGCAGCTAGAAACAAGTCAGAACAATCACAGGCTTCTGATCTAATTAACACAACAAGCTGCCTCCTCCCTGTGACCTCACATCTGTGCGAGACATTCACAGATGAGTAAAAAATTGGAGTCTGTTGAGTTTTTTTCCCTTCTTGGTTTGAATATCAATCTGGAATGGCAGTGTGTGCACGAGGTACACACCACCTCATAATGCCATGATTGCTAAAAATCAAAATGCACACACACACAAACCACTGAAGTGAGAGTATAAAATAGTCTGACAAATTCATTCCCCCTCAGTAGCCAAGGCTCCTCACCTGCTTTATAAGAACCAGGAGGTGCATCTTCAGCTAACAGGACGGGTTTGTAATCAGAGGGCTCAGAGCTCCACAGGATCCTTCTTGCAGCAGGCAGATCTCATGCTCAGCACTTGTCTGAGTGCTGTTCTTGGGAAGCTGGAGGCAGTCCTGCAAGACTCTGAACATCTGCACACACAAAATCTCCTTCAGTCTCAAGATGTTGCTGCTTTACAGACATGCTAGAAAAGGTCAAAGTCAGGAAATAACAGTTTAACAACAAGCAAGGAAACAGAGGGCCAAAAGCTTCTCCTACCCATAGGTTACCAAGATTCATCCCCTAGAGAAATCCAAAAGTATTCAAACTCCTCATGGGACATTCTGTCATCCTAAGGCTTGTGGCAGTGCTCTTATGAAGAGTTCATGACCATGCTGTAAGGCAGCCAGCAAAAGGACTGTTTCAACACACAGAGAAAAGAATAAATAAATCAAGACAGCCTGAAATTTTTCTAAACTCAGTGTTTTATTGCTCTGTGATTATTAGTTACACTTTGACACATTGCACTTCAGAATAGATTAGCACCTACTACATAATTTAAAAACTTAGTATCTTACAACTCATATAATTGGCACGATAGAGAAAACCCAGAGATCTGTCATTTTAACCCAAGACTAAAAGAGATAAAATGTTTACATCCTTTACTGTTGGCAGGTGAGCTTTCGTTGTGGAAGCCCTTAAAAATAGTGAACAGAAACTAAGAACCTAAATGCCCTCCAAAAATATATAAAAACAGTATCAGATAAATCACTCCCTTCTTTACACCAGTCTTTTTGCTTTGGTACTTTTAGTACCCAAGTGCACAGTTATTCCCTCATCTCTTTCAAGGAAAAAAAAGGTAACATGATCAAAACTATGCTGACTACTTTGGGTGAAAAGAGGAGAGACTCCCACACACCATTCTCAGCACCCACACAAACAGTATTTTCATCAGAAGTGGCATTGTCTCAGGATTTAACACACCCCAAGAGGTTTATAAATAATAAATTCTGGAGCTTTTTAAAAAGGGAAGAATTATTTGAATAAATAAATGACAGCTGTAATAGCTGCATTGGCTTTGGTGACCAGTTATCTATATGCAGCATAAGTTATCTTCATAAGGCAAGTGGTGAGCTAGCAGAAGTGAAGTCCCTGAGGATCAGCATCTCCACGTTCAACTTATTTGTTTCACAACGTGTGTAGACAGCCTGGAAAACAATCAGTCCCAAGGCATCTGCTTTTTAATCTCCCAGCACAGCTGCAGACCACACAATGAATTATTTCTGTACCTTTTCTGCAGTCAGGAATACATAAATAACGCCGAATACTGAGGAGGAGGAGGAGGCAGGGAATTAGTTCAGCTAAACCTGGGCCAAGTGCTCCACCTTGTGTTGGTGCTCACAACACAGCTCAGAGCGACGCTCCCGGTGCCTGCTCCACCCCTGCAGGTCCTGCGCTGTAGTTTCTGATCCCTTCTGCCTGGGAAGAGGTGTTGTCCATGGTGCCGTAGGACTGCTGCTCCGCGGGGGCCAGCACGGTCCTTTCGGTGGGGTGGGCACGCAGAACCTGCGGGACGTACATCTGAAATCACAAGTGAGGGCTTTTAGTGGTCTCTCCAACACAGTGCTGTGAGATGGGATAGCTGGAGGCAGTCCTGCAAGACTCTGAACATCTGCACACATTTAAGGCACAAAATCTCCTTCTATCTCAAGGTGTTGCTGCTTTACAGACATGCTAGAAAAGGTCAAAGTCAGGAAATAACAGTTTAACAACAAGCAAGGAAACAGAGGCCAAAAGCTTCTCCTACTCAGGAGAACTTTCCCCTTGTCACTCTTCTCTTCATCCTTTTGCCATTCTTCACTTTAACACCTCAGGCCTTTTGCACCCTGCTGGAGGCTTCCTGGTGCAACACTCCCCTGCATCTCTTGACTGTGGCACCAAGGCCTTTCCTCCTGTCTCAGTCCTACATCCTTCTCAGTGACATGGCAAGCAAGACCTGCCACATGTCACAACATTCAGAACTGCATTGGCAGCTGTCCAGATGTGAGGCTCTGTCTGGGGCAGGGCACAGAACACAGCACACAGAGCTGCTGGAAGCAGAGTGTCTCAGCTGCTCCTAAAACCAAAGGTACTTCTGGAACATCACCTGGGAGCAGCAAGGAGCCCAGCTGCAGAACTCTCTGGTCCCACATGCACGTGGCAAATCCCACAATCCATGCAGAATAATAAGTGCTACACAAGCTCTTTGGTAAGCAGGGTGAGAAATTAGGCTTTTCTAGGAAAAGTAAGGGAATATTAGTAACTCTTAGGTTCTTACAGAAGATGTTGGGACTGTTGGTACATCTGTGTCCTTTCCTCTTTCACCTTGTGTGTCTTCAATCTGTAACCAGCAATAGGTGGGGAAAGAGAGAGAGAGAGAGAGAGAACATCAAACTGGTGAGTGAAAACAACACACACATCATGGGCACCCAAAACCTGCACAGACAGACCTCAGTGCAGTTCTGGCACTCTCTGCACCAGTCTTTCTACACAGAATCATAGAAAGGTTTGGCTTAGAAGGGACCTTAGAGATCATTGAGCTCCAAGCCCCTGCCATGGGCAAAACCACCTTCCACTAGACCAGGTTGCTCCAAGTTCCATCCACCCTGGCCTTGAACACTTTCAGGGATGGGGCATCCTCACCATCACTGAGCAGCCTGTGTTAGTGCCTCAGCAACCTTACAGCAAAGAATTTCTTACTTAGCTAACCTAAACCTACTGTCAGTTTAAAGCCATTCCCTCTTGTCCTCTCTTGTAAAAAGTCTCTCTCTACATTTTTTTGTAGGCTCCCTGAAAGGAAAGCCTTTTTTTGGAAGGTTGCAATTAGGTCAGCCCAGGTTGAACATTCCCAATTCTCTCAGCCTGGCCCCATAGCAGAGGTGCTCCATCCCTCTGGTCATCTTGGTTGTAATCTCTGGATTTGCTCCAAGAGGTCCCTGTCCTTCCTTGTGCTGGAACCCCAGAGCTGGATGCAGCCCTGCAGAGGGGCAGAATCCCCTCCCTCAACCTCCCCACACTGCTGGGGATGCAGCCCAGCATCCTTTTTCCGTACTACTCTTTTCTCTCAAATTCAGTTCCTGCAGACACAGAGATTTCCCACTCTGCCAAGCAGCCCACCTGTACTACAGGCTCTCAGCAGGAAGGGAGGGACAACCCACCAGGAAAAGCTGGTGCTCCATCAGGCACACAGGGAGGTGCTGAAAGGACAGGTATCCATCACTTACCCTATAATTCAGTGGGCTCAGGTACTTGAAACAGCCAAAACAAGTGTAAGCCAAGCAAATAACAATGGTGATGTTGACAACCAGCAAGGTAAACATTGTTGTAGGTGCTTTAAAACCTAGAAAAATATCCAAAGAATAAAATAAAAAAACACATAGCAGAAAAATCCAACAAAAGCAAAAAAAGCCTTTATTTATCCTCCTCATTTTCAGAAGCTTCATGGATTTTTTTTTTTCTTAGAGGAATGGGCAGCCCATTTCCAGCCACAAACAAGAGAATGTCATTATACACTAAGTTCTCCCCCTTTTCCTAGGGGCCAAGAAATGTTGCTGTAATACCTAAATGATAGACAAGACTCAGAGTAATTCTCCTCCCTCATTCATCCATTCTGGACCCAGTTCTTAAGTATTTTCATTAATGATCTGTGAAATATAATATTAATTGCATAGATTAATTATGATGATGGCACCAAATTGGATGGTTTGCCATCAACTCAAAGGGATGGAGGTAAGGCAAGAGCAGAATCAAAATGGTCTTGGTACATAAAATTATTCCATTTTCTTTAAAGGATCAAAACAAACAAACAAAAAAACCAACAGCAAGATAAAACTGTATGTAGAAAACAGGAAATAAGCACAATTTGGAAGGAAAAATAAATGTAGATATGAGGGATAACAATAGCACTGCAGCATACAAGTGCTGGAAAGTGGGATGGTATCAAAGAACATGGGAAGAGAGGAAAATGAAAAAAAAGACAAGTCTCTGGCACCTATACAAAACAATAGATAGTCTTGTCTACAACAAAATGGATAGTCTTGTCTACAATAAAATATGAGCAGAACTGGGAAGAATCCAAGGAAAAAGATCAAGAGAAGGAACAGTAAATATGAACTAGGCTGATAGGGAAGTTTTAATTCAGGGAAAGTGTAATAAACTATAGGAAAGGACATGGGTGCCTAGCATGGAAAAAGTATTAAAGATTACAGTGACTTCTTATTTTCCAGAGTCACTAGGGAAATATTCTAAAGAAATTAATCTCATTTTGCAGTAAAGATGACTTGAATGGAATATTAGGAAAAAGCAAACATCACTGCAAGCCCTAACTGTTTCCAAGCTTCTTCAGACAAAAGAGGCAACACCAACTCTCAGACATTTTTGTGGTAACCCCAGCATGTGCAGTGGCACAGAATAGAGAAGTTTTACACTTCAGCAGGTTATGGAAGCCCTGCACAGATCTGTTCACAAGGGGAAAACCACCACACACATGCAAAAAACAGAACCAAAAAAGCCCTACGAACACATCACTGTTCAAACCAAAAAAGGAAGTGAAAAAACCTCCCTAGGGGTATTCTGGAATGTCCTTCAGAGGAGGTTGTTTTTATAAGCACAGTATTTATCAGGTGGTGAGGTGTGTCTACACCAAAGCCAATGTATGGTGCAAAGCACAAGGCAAACAGCAGAGATTAGGGAAGGAAAAGTCTCCCACATCAGTTTTCCTTGCACTGTGTCCCCAGAACTGCCTGCCAACGGCTCTGGAGAACATGGGATTCAAGTGACTGTGCCAGGAGATGGGGCTTGAACTGCAGAGAGGCACAGTGATATAGGATGGATGGATGGGTGGATGGAGTAAAAGCTGAGAAAGAATACAGGCACTGAGAAGGAAAAAACTGAGTACAGCCTCTCACCTTCTGTGTGCAGTCAGGTGGTTTTTGATCCTGACTGAGAATTGGGGGAGAAGTTTTTCCAGCCTTATATTAATATATGAGGTGTGAGAAACCAGAGTATTGTCATTGGACTCTGCAGCCAGACTGAAACACCCATATCAAGCCAACCACAAAAGTCAATGACCAAGCAATCAAGGTTTACACCATAAACTGATCTATTTTGCAGATAAGGAAGCAGAGCTCTCTTTTCCTTCCTTCCTTCTTTTTGGCACAAGAAGCATCAATGAAATCAATGGAAATGAAATATAAGTATCAAATTCCTACCTCTCAGACTGCACTGTGCACTGACAAACCACTGAACAACATCCTGTAAACAGGATCCTCTACACTGACCAAGCCAAACATGCTAATCCAGCCTGTGTTTTCCATTATTTAAGGTCCCTGACAAATGATGGTTTTACCATGCAGAACCAGAAAACATTATAATAAAGATTTAATTTTTACTTCACCAGGATTTCCTTCCTATCAATTAAAGAGGTGCATCAGATGCTGAGTGCTTGGAGTTGATTTTTCTAAAGCATGCTCTAGAAATTCTCCTAGTAATTTAGAGGACCAGATTTATTGGTCTTCCTGGTTGCAAAAGCTGCTCTCAAAACAAGGGAAAAAACAAGCTCTCAAACATACAAGTAATGCAGGAACATCTATTCAAATCCAAGGACAGCCTGAAGCAATAGCTCCACGTGCATCCACAGGGAGTTTTCCATCTCCCTAAAGTTGGATGACAGCCTGTCAACAACAACACCTTTCTGACTGCTGGTCAAAAATGCTAAAAAACACAATGCAGATGTAATCATCTGTAATGAGGGCACAATGCAGTCAGCTATCAGGAGTTTCCTTCTAAAGAAGGGGAACCCAACCCTTCCAGCATCACTGACATTTCCATTCCATGCCAAATGCTTTCTCCTGTATCATGGATAAAAACCCATAAGGTGTTGCCCACCTTTTTCTGACATCAAAGCTGTTGGTACAGCACAGCCAATGCAATCATTGCCAATACAAGCAAAACACAGAATGTTTGTATTTTAAAGATAAATTACATATAAAACATGAGGTTTTAAACTCCAATGTGGGGAAGAGAGTCACCATCTCACTGCAGTCTTCCATGTAAAATATGATGGATGATGTAGAACACACAAGGACTACCATTAGCCAACATTTTAGCATTTTTTCCTAAGAGATGGCTGTACAAACCAGACAAATTAAACTTATGCCCAGGCTGCACAAATGCAGGTAGTGAAGCCAGTGTTCATCTCACTATAAAGAGCTAATTCTGAGTAGATTTTTGTTCTATGTAATGATTTTTACTGTCTGTCACTTCACAGCCCAACTGGCCAATTCCAGATGTTTGATTAAAGGAATACATGATCTTTTAAGGAATACTGATTTAAGGAATACATGATCTTTTAAGGAATACTGATTTAAGGAATGCATGATCTCCTGTGAAATGAAGGAACACAGAGCCTCATGCTAACAGTTTAATGTATCAGCCATCTCCATCAAGGGCTCTTGTGCAAATCTTGTGTAGTTCACAGAAAATCACCATGACTCCCCCTTTAGGGAAGGAAATAGGAAAGTCCACAAAGCTTATGAAAGCTTTATGAGAGCTCACATCTAATTCAGGGATGCTGGCAAGAGAGCTGGGAGCAGCTTCCAGGTGGAAACAGGTTCATACTCACCTGCCACAGACATATTTTCTGAAAAATCCTTTTGCAGGATCTTTTCTCCTGAGAAGCTGGGAAGCTTCAGCTTCTCCATGTTTTGCTGCTTTGGAATGTGATTTGGAGAATTGTTTACCCACCATGCGAATTGTTTTTACTTGATGACCAATGACAGCCAGCTGTGTTGAGGCTGTGAGCAGTCACAAGATTTTATTATTAATTCCTTTCTTTTCTACCCTTCTGATGTCTCCTTTCTCTTTCTTTAATATAGTTTTAGTATATAATTTTCTTTTAATATAATATATATCATAAAATAATAAATCAGCCTTCTGAAACATGGAGTCAAGATTCTCATCTCTTCCCTCATCCTGGGGACTCAGACACCACCACACTTACCCAGCCTCACAAATGAGTAAAAATAGAGCCAGAAAAGGCAGAGGATGGGAGCTGCCAGGGCCTGATTGACAGCTGCAAAGTGCATCTTCTTCTCCAGCTTGGCAGGGAGATAGGCATAGTAGAGGTTGTGACGGTCCACCATGTGCTTCAGGAGGATGTAGATCAAACCTGGCAGGGAAAACAGCAGAGCCAAGCAGAGGCTGTTGGAGGTTTGATAAAAAGCAGCAACTCTGTGAAGGGATCTGCACTAACCAAGTGAGTGGATCAGCCCAGACATGAGAGGGGTACAGCTGCAGGACAGCACCTGCTCCTGAAGCTTAGCAGCTGAGCTTGTTGTGTCTCCATCCCTCCCCTCTCCTCACACTTCTCTGTCTCTGTGGTGCCTCTTGTGCTCCCAGGGAGAGCCCAGAGCTCCTTCCAGGTGCTGCCACATGAGGCCAAGCCAGAAAGGAAGATTTCCCATCTCCCCTTGCACTGCTGCTGGTAAGGAAGGCATGACAGTGGCTCAACATCTCCCTCTCAGCCCTCACCAGATTGATGACTGGATTTCAAGTCAGCTATTCCTTATCCAAACAAACAGCAACTGCTGTGGCAGCTATGAATTGCAGCAGCTCTGGGATGCAGTGGCACATTCAGATATTTACAACTGCACACAAAATGAAATGTAAGTAAATATCAATTACATTGTTACAGAAAAATTGGCCACATTCTCCCAATAATAACGTTGTTGATTAAACCAGTTCTGAAAAATATCTAATTTAGATAATTATCTTGTATCTAGCTCTGTAAAGTTTCAGATTAGAAAATGAAAATACCAACTATATAAAATTATTTAGTACTACTTATGTCTGATCTAAACCCCTAACTACCAAAGCCAGTACACTCAAATTTGAGAAATAAAATAAACATCTAATAGATATTAAATGTATTTTCAACTTCTAAAGCAGTACAAGAGCTAAGTAATTCATCATCTTTTTCACTGTTCTTCCACAAGAAGGGAAGGAAACTTGGATCCAAGTCCTAAGGATTATCAGCATTTGAATGGCAATAAGAACACTGAGCTGAGCCTTCCAAACTTCCCACATGCCCCATGTCACTCCCACAGTGCCCACTGGAATACTCACCAAAAGGGACAATGATGGGACATGTGATGCTGTAGGCCATGATGACAGTGAACACACACAGCATCCAGGCATACATTGCTCCAAATTCATATTCAAATGCCTGTTGCTAGGAACAAAAACAAAACACCCAAAACTCTCAAGTCATCCATCAATGTGTCAGGAGTTAAGAATAGATTCCCTAAAGCAACAATTCACTTTATCTTATTCATTCTGAGAGATCAGTTATTTCCCTAAGAGGCAGAAATTATATAATTAGAGGAAGTATTTTGTGTTTTTATTACCTGGACATACAGAAAAGATGCTGTTTCTTTCTTAGCCTTAAAGTAATTTCTCAGAGAATCTGCATCTACAAAAAGCAGCTCCTTAAAATCACAAGGCAGAAAATAATTGTGCCAGACTCAGTACCTTCACCTTACTGTGGTAGCTACATACAGGCTTAAGTTCCCATAGTAACACCTGGAATTTCAAGCTATGGGATGACACTTCACCTGGAAGTGAAAGTCCACCTCTTAAAATGGAATATAGGCAAAAATATATATTTTGCTAGGTGTATGTTCAGTTTAAAGCAAGTTGTACACACCTGATGGCTGACAGAAGAAACTAACTCTAGACAGTTTTAAACAAAAAAAACACCCCTGAAGTTCAGACTGTAAGATAAAATCAGAACTATTCTATAAAATCCAAACCATAAAACTCTGACTTAGAGCTATGAAGAGACTGATACCTGAAACTCAAGAGCCTGGATTTTGATTTTTGACCATCTCTGACTGGAATAAATCCCTCCCTGCTATCTGTGCTGTGAATGAAGGGAATATGAACCTGCCGCGGACAAGCGAAACAAAGGCTAAAAAAAACAAAACAAGTCAGGAGATGATAGTTAATGGTATGAAGGATGGGTGCTGCCAGTGTTTCTGACAAGGATCAGCCATTGAAATGCCTCCTGCTCAGGAGGGGCTCCAGTACCTGTTTGATGTTTTTCCTCTCTGCTGTGGACTTGGCCATGATCATGCGAATGGTGTAGAGGATGAGCCCCGGCAGGCGCAGCAGCTCCATCCCATTGCCCACGAAGGCTGAGGCAATCACATAGTTCACAAAGAAGGCTCCCTGGTCAGGCAGGAAAACACATCTGCCAGGAAAGACACCAGACACTGGCTGGGAGGAAGGCAAGCAAACACTGGAGGTGTACAATGCATCCTTATTGCCTTTGGAAATCTCTTACGGTAAGGATAAGCACTGTGTAGGTTAGGAAGGGGCCAGCAGAACTTCTGATAACCTTGCTGTAAAAAAACACTGCACAATGCACACTACAAATGCAGCCAGGGGAGGATGTAAGAGCCTGGCTGAGTTGCAGTTCAGATAAGGAATAATCTGCTCAGCCACCTGATGGGTGGCTGAGAGCAGACAAGAGCATCATCTGATGTCTGCAACAGCAACCTGACACAAGATGAGATAAGACTGCAATAGAATAATTATCTCTCCTAATTTAGTAACTCCTAATTGTCTTCCTGTTACCAATTTTGAAACTGCATTTGGAAATCTATATCCTAATAATTGCATTCTATTCTTTCCCTCCAGGCACAGGAACTTAAAATAATCAATATCTGCAAATTTTCAATCTTATGTGTATAAAAACATGTTTTTCAGAAAGAGAACTGCTGCAGCTCTTTGGTCTCACTGTAATCCTTGAGAAGATCCACTGTCAATGATATGCAACAATCCTCCTCCAATTCCAATATCTTATCATCCTTTCTGTGAAGAAATTTTTTCTCATGTCCAACCTTATTGTCTCCTCCCCTTATTCAGAAGCTCAACATCATCTCAAAGTAGCAACCCTGAGCAAATTTTAATAAGCATTGACCAAGGACATTAAAAAGCAAAAAAAAATATCTTAAGTCCTAAGTATTTCTTTACACAGGAATAGCAAAGAGAGAAAATTATTTAGCTGATACTTACTCCAGCCTAACTGCAGAATCAGAGGATTCTCTGTCAAAGAGCCAGCGGAAAAAGAAATCCAGACTGAAAGAAAGATGGTGAATGTAATTCAGTCTCCCACACCTTAGTTCTGTTTAAAAATGCTTCTCTTTTTGAGCAGCTTAAGTCAAGATAGTATAGAAAGAATTTAGTATAGCATAGAAAGAATTTAAGCAAGTAATCTAAACACTACTTCAGCTTTATCACAGTTAGATATAAGAAATAAGGAAAAAGGTACAAAATTAAACAGAACAAAAATATCTGCCTCATATTAAAGTTTTATTATTAATTTTTAGCAATTATTATACAGAGAGGACAAATACATGTCATCCAGGGAAACAGTCAAAAACTGTAAAGGTGGGAAAAAAGGACAACTGAAGTATAAGACACAGTCAGGAAACTTGGCTCTCAGCTATAAAGGTGAGTATGGGAAACTTTTAATTAGCCATTGATCTTACAAGGTCTTAAATCTCTTTGTTAAAAGAAAAGCCAGGCTTTGGAAACTGTTAAGGGCTCTGAGGATCCCAGATGTAAGATGAATATTGAAACCTAATGTGCAATGATAACTTAACAACACACACTGAGGGAGTGGGGGTACGTTGGCTATACCTCACAACTAGAAAACACAAGTAAAATGTCTCATTATAAAAGCACTCAGCCATTATCTCAATAAACTATGATTCTTTACCTGGTCAGACCAAGGGAAGGCAGAATCAATACCATGAAGATCAAAAAAATGTAGACTTTATGCATCATTATTCTGTTCTCTGCAGATCTATCAACATAAAAGGGCACTGAGTGAGAAGCTCATACAAAAAGCTGCCACATATGAAGGATCTTTCCTGGACAATGCCAGACTTGTCAGTCTCCCATCTTCCCCTACCATATCACATTGCTACCAGATAAAAACCAAACATCTCTGAGATATTCACCAATATGGACCAAGCAGAATTTCAGTACCTTCTTGGGCAACAAAAATCTTACTGAATGTTAATCCAGGAAGATTTTTTTTGTATAAAAGTGTTGCAAGTAGTTTTTCTTTGTATAAAAACAAACAATGACTACAATGTACAAGCACAGCTGGTCTCTCACCCAAAGACACCTTGGAAAGAAACTGCTCTTCAAGTGCCATGCCAGGAGGGATTAAGCAGTTCAGAAAAAGGCACCACTGCCAAGAAACCAGACACTTAGACAAGCTCCCTGTCAGGTGTCAAGTCTTGGAGAACACCATGACACTACAAATGCTATCCCCCACTAGAGCAGCAGGAACATGGATCCAGTGACAGCTTGTTGCCAGAAAAGTGGAGCTCTGTGAACACTTCAGACTCCTAGAGGTGGCATCTGATAGGGCTTTAAAACCACAGGGGTTTTATTGTAGGAACACTTGGGCACTGTGAGAGCCATCAGTGTAACTGAAATCAGACCTGTGATCTCTAGTAACTTCAGAAAATTATTTTAACTGATGGAGAAGGGCACAAAGTTCATGTGTGCAGCACAGCTACCAAAACAAAGATGATGAAAAGCATCCAACTGTGACAAATAAACAATAGACTCTAGAAATGGTGTCTTAGAAAAGCATTGTATAAAAATTCAAAAGCAAAACCACCAAATTTGCCTTAGACAATAAAAACAAACAATGTCAACAAGATTTATGGATAAAGACTGAGTGGAGTTGAGATTGAAGTGCCATGCTTTTATCTGTGTGTAGGTAAACAGGGCATCAATTCTGGTACTGCAAACCAAGCTGTGCTGAGTTCTCCAAGTGGGCTTGACATCTCTGGGTTGCCCCAGCTCAGAGTGAAAACCTTGCACCAACACATCTGCTGGGCCTCTGGCCCTATAAATCTTCTCAGATCACCACTGATGTCGAACAGACCTGAGCTGTGAAGCAGGACTTACATCCAGACCATTTTGTCATGCCAAACAAAAATATGCATGCCCTTTTTATAAGTTGTCAGCCTGGAGGGGATCCAAGCCACATGGCCAATCTTCCCAGAGAGCAAATTAATTATGGGATTTGAGGCACTTGCCATGCTCCTGTTGAAGCTACACCTCCTGAGCCTGCTCATCCAATTTTTTTTCTGATAAAACACAAAGAGGAGTGAGGTGGGGAGCAGGGGAAAGCACAAGCAAATCATGTGGTCACATTAGATTTGCTGTGTGGGTTACAAATTACCCAAACCCTGAAGTGTGGTTATAACACTAGAAAGCGACAAGAACAGGAAAGGTCTTGCTAGGAGAGGTCTGCAGATCTGAGAGCTCTGTGAAAGATCAGCACTTCATTTATCTCAGTAGTTCAGCTGATAAGGTAAAAACAGAGGGAAAAATTGCTTACTTTGTCCAGTGAGACTCCAGCAAAGTTGAGTAATAGACAATTGTTGGTAACAAAGCTGAGAAGGACCAGAGCAAGAGTGTTGGGAAAAACTGACTGATGACAGGATTCTAGAGGGGGAGGAAATAAGAATTAGTATTAAAAACACTTTAATGGTGGAACAGAGATTCTAATATTTTGCTTTTTGTAAATTACAACAGGATGAAGTGAAACAATTATATTCAGATAATCTTAAATTGAGTAATGAGTGCTTAGCACTGGCATGCAAGCCAAAAAACCCAAGTGAGATTTGGAATTAAATTCCATGAGAGTGCAATCTCACAAGTGATTTTTATGTAGTTTACACTAGCTTGGGGAAACATTTCAAAAGAATAGCTTGCAAGTTGCTTTACTGCAAGCAAACTAGGATCAGATATATATGTCATCTTGCTTTGAATCCTGTAAGCAAAAAAAACCAAAAACATTTTACCTCAGAGTTAAAAATCTGAATTTCCCCCTTATCACAAAAATCAAAATACAAGTTGGATTTGAAATTCCATTTTTTGCAAAGATTTTTGATTACAACATTTAAAATTATTTAAGTTTGGACTACAAATTTTTACCAAAAATATACATAAACATGTTATAATAATATAAAACCTCAGATAAAAATGACTTCAGACTGTTATCCAGGAACAAAAGAGGGCTAAACAACGGATTATGAACTTATGGTTTTAATCAGCAGCTACATAATTCCTGAGAATTTCAACTGAAGCTGTAAGGTAGGAATTTCAACTGAAGGAAAAACAATTTACCAAAATTTTGGTCTGATCCACAGCTATATCCAAACATATGGCAATACTCACATTAAGGTAGTGAATGGGTTTAGTGACATTGAACTTGTCCATGGTTGAGATGATTATGGAAGGAGTGGTAAGAAAAAACAGCACAATAAAAAGAAGCAAATTAATGCAAGCCCATCTAAACCACCATTTAAATCCACGCACTGAAAGATTTTTCCTGGAGAAAGAAATAAAAATAAAAGGGGCATTAAAACAAGGAGCAAGCATTTGCTGTTAAAAAAAGATATATACACTATCTGTCAAATAACAGGTGGCACTGCTTTTTCTAAACTGAGCTTTCAAAATTATATAACAAAGCACCACACAAGTTCCAGTTGCTGTTAGAAATGAAGAGAACTGTGCAAATTCTCTTGAATGATGCCATAAATTGTGCTTGCAGAAGAACATATCCAATCTTTCATTACACAAACACAATATCTAATCTAGGTAAGGTTTGGGATGAAACACTTGCATTGTTCAGTAATACGGAAGTGCTAAAAAGAAATGGAACAAGAAGAGACAGAGGACACAATTTCTTCAGGAATACCTATCAGAGGCAGAACCTACCAAAAAATTGTGATTTGAACTAAAATTTCAAATAATACATATCAGAGGCAGAACCTACCAAAAAAACTGGTTTGAAATAAAATTTCAAATTTGCAAACACTGCATCTCTTCCTGCCATATTAAAACAGCAACTATAGATTTTAAACAAGTAAAGTTCTTAAATGTTATTTGAGATGGTTGCCAAAAGGACTGGAATGATTTGAGCACCAGGCAAAGCCAAATATTCAGAACAAACAAAATAGGGATACAGAGGTTCAGTGACATCCCTGATTATGACAAGTCTTCTTGGCACATCCCTGGGTCCCTCTTCTTCAAGGTGAGGGGGAGAAAAGGAAAAGAACAGGAAGAAGACAGAGCAGAGTTTACAGAGTGGACCAAGTTATGCTCATCACATGGCAACTCAAAAATATACACATATTTTGAGGATACTCAGCACTAAAACCAAGTTGCTTCCCTCAGATCTTAACAGTACATGTGCACTCAAAAAAAGGAAATACTGAGGGAAAGATATAAACAGGATTGGGTTTCTTAAAAATTTTGGGGTGGAAAACTCTAGTCCATTACCCCAATAATATCCAAAGACCCCAGGGTCAATGAAGAACACCAGTAATGAAAATAAAGAGGCAGATCAGCCACATTCCAACACCACAAAGTTTTAGTTTATGGTTAAAAAAACCCACACTCATCCCTGTTTATCCTGTGCCCATTCTTATTCTGAATTCTCACCAACAAATGGGTGTAAGAGAGGAATCTTACCAACAAATATTCTCAGGGTAAGGAGCATATGTAACCTCCCAGCTGGATACACACAGCTCCCTGCTGTAGGGTGATGGCTGGGGCTCTCCTTTACACTTAATGCTCTGACATTTGCAGGCATTGAAGTCCTTAAGGATGCTGTGAGGAAGAAAAGGAAGATTTTTTCATTTTTTCACACCTGAAAATGCTAAATATGTAATGAGAAAGTCTGGGAATAGTGATAAAGGATTTTGGGTTTTTAAATTTATTTTAATAACCTGTGATCAAGATGGAGCTTAAACAACACTCTAATATATTATGCATTTATGACCATTATTTAAACAGCTGCTACCACAGGCCTGAGATCTGTTTTGTTAGAAATAAAACTTTTATTTAAAACTTATATATGTATATGGTTTAAACTGTTTACTGCTTCTACCAACATGAATAACAGCAATGAGTCATATTAAAAAAAAATTGAAAAATCAAAGCCTGAGAGCATTGGAAAAAATAAAAGACAGTTTCCTAAACACATCTTTACATAATACAGCTGTCTTCAAATCAAAGTAGACTAATGAAATGAGACTGCAGACTAATCTTTTACACTAGTATAAAAAACAGCCAATTTTGCCTTGAGTACCAATTCTCAGAAGAATTTTTAGCCTGCTATTATCCTCACAATTCAAAATATTAGCCTCTTTCACCCACTTCTAAAATAATCACAGTGCTTAATTCTATCTTCCAATATTATGAGTTGACTGACATTGAAAATTTAAAGAAAAAATTTAAACATGCCCAGAATAAATGCTATCAAAGATCTTTCAAAGGACAGCAGTAGAAGGGTGATGAACACATTCAGAAACTATTTTATTGCAGCAGCATAGAAACAATATATATTATATTTAGATGGGGTGATTCCAAAATCTGTGAACATGCTTTTTTCTCAGTTGTGGTCTTAACATAGACAGAGAACCACACACAAAAACACCAAACTAGCAAACACAACCCTCAACCCCTCCAGACCTTTTCCTTACCAGAATTCAAGCAGTGATGTCAGATTGCCAGCATCTTGCAGCAGCAAGTATTTAAGACAGTTGATTATTCTTTGATAGGTTATTTTTAAAAATACATTCAGAGCAAGTTTGAGCCATCATTTAAAAGCTTCTACAACCACCTGAGCCCCCAGAACCTCACTTCTGGTGTCCTGTTTCTCTCATCCTATTTCAGGGCTCTGCAGAGCAGAGCATCCTAAGGGCACCAAGTAACTTTCTAATTTGATGGGAGCCTCAGCTTCACACATAATTTAATCTAATTTCCCAGGGAATGGAGTCCACCACATTAATTCCAAGCTAAACAAACTAAAATATTTTCAGGTCTTGATGGCTGAACTCAGAGATGCCTGCAGTGCAGCTCAGAACACTTGTTCAAGCAGGGACCATCCCATCAAAATTGTACACAACACATCAGTAGCTACAGAAGGAACTTCAATGCTTATTTCTTCTTTTATTTTCACATCTCCAAATGTTATTTCATTACAAAATTAAAAGAGGAGGCAGATTTCATCACACAATCACTACTCAATGAAAGAGTAGCGAGCAAAACTTTCTCTGATATACCAAATCCTTACAAGAAATTCTACATCCTGGACTTCCTTGAAAAACAGCCTCAAAAACTGTCTCTCTAACATGACTTGAATAGCAAAAAAATGCAGACAATTTAAACTACAGAGGCTAAGAACAGAAAAAAGCATGATGTGTTATGTTGCAATACAAATATTATCCTGCTTTCCTTTACCCATTTTGTGTTAGCAAAAGATGTTTACAAAATGCCAACAGAACATGGGAGGCTACACATATTTTTCTCTGCAAATGACTGAATAAAAGCACAAAACAACTTCTGCTATTAGGTCTAAGCATATATCTATAACAGCAGGTAAGAGATTTACAGAATTTGTGTATCTCTCACCTGTGTCCAGGTCCCTCACTGAGCCTACCTGCTGAGATGACTTAACTGGCTGTAATTTGTACCCACTCTGAGAGTTTGGTAATTGGACCATTTGCACAGCAGGAAATGGAGTTGTCAGTAACTCATATTCAAGAACCAATTAGTCTGGCCTCCTAAAACCTACCCTGATGGACTGGATCCCACACAGAAGAGAAAGGCTCTTTAGCCCATTAAATGTCCCAAGCCTTTTAGTCCTTTAGGTAATTTCTTCATTCAAAGCATAGAGGCTAAAACACATTTATGGAAAAACTTACCAGAAAGCAAAGCAGAGCAAATCCACAGAATGGTGAAAAAGAAGAAAGGAAGAACCAACATAAGCAAACAAGGGACATAAACAAGAGATCATTTGTACTATTTTAGTAAAAAAAGAGCAAACAAGACAATGGACAAAACTTACTAGGTTGCCATGGATTTCTCTTGAAATGTTACAAAGGCCATTCCCAGTGGGTTATTATGAACAGCTTGTTCCTCTTTTGAATATTCTTCCTCAAGTTCATTTCTAACTTTGGTATAATAATCTACAGCATCCTCCTGTGGGGAAATTGATGGCTGTTAGATGCAATGTACCAGATGGCCAATATCCTCAATAACACACAGCTTACACAAACCATGGCCACCCTTCCTCAGGCCACTCCCACAAATTACAAATCATGCCACAAGGCAAGGACAACAGGAAGATTTTCTTCTACTTCAGTTTGTGCACAAAGATTACATTTCAAAAGTTTCAGGGAATTCCTTTTCTGTGCAGTACAAGAACATGGCAGATAAGCTATGAATGGATAAAGAATTTTCTGAAGGTCAATGAAACATGACACAAACACTATTTTCTACTCCTCTAATAACCTACTTATCTATAACTAGAGAAGAACAGAATCTCTTACCCTTTCACATCCTCTCATTTCACAGCAGCAGAATTGACCACATGGCTTAGGGTTGATTTGGACTCTCTTGCCATATTTCTGATGCAGGTGTTCATAGTAAATCAGGCTTTTTTCTGCCTGTTTTCTGCACAAAAAGAAATACATCCATAACATTTTGCAAGAGAACAGTATCAACATCAAGCTTTAAAAGATTATAATCCCTGAGAGGAAAAAATTATGCCAGGGACTGATAGCAAATTAATCAGTCACCAAAGATATTTACATGCAGTTTATTTTGGTTACTTATAAAATTATTTGTGAGTTTGTATAATCATTATACAGCCTACATGTAGTGAAGTTCTAGGACTACTCACTACTTGTAGTGAGGGTCCAGGAAAAATAACAACCCAATTTTATTTTTGAGAGCCCAGAAGACAACATTTGTCTCTCCTGTGATCAGCACCTCCGGCCAAAGAAGCAGGGTTAACAGTTATTAATTCAATAGTTCAATTTTTCACTTTGCCTGTCTATAAATAACTAAGTACATACATACATACATAAATAATCAGCAAGTCAAAACTTAACTTAGGCAACACACAACATGTCACACCAACAAGAGATGGGCTGAGCCCCATAAATCCCTTTAAAACACAGCTGAATCTAACTGAAGTCCAGAACTTGAAGAGCAGAATCCACCTTTAGGATGCACCAGGTCAGTGCTGCTGGTGCATGTTGATTAAGCCTAGCAAAACATTCAAAGAATTATGCTAAATTTGTGTAGGTTACAAAAACAAGTACCTTTTTTTGAAAAGGTTAATAAGCCTGGCTACATCATAACACAGCTGGACCTCCAGCACAGTGCAGGTTGGGTAGGCATCTCTGAAAGGAAGCAGCACATGAGAACCATAAGAACAGAAAGTAGAGTGAAGAAACTGTTTCAAGAGCAGCACTGGAATCTAACTGACAACTCATCACTCATTTCATTTCTGAATGAGGTATCAGAGAGCACAGACTTCCACAGACAGCCATTGGAAGGCACTCAATATGAGATGCACAGCTTTATTCCAAGTAAAAGTTGTGTGGGAGCATGACTGGAAAGTGTGGATACACAGACACTTGCTTAAATACTGATTTAAAGATCAGTTAACTATTGATTGAAATATAATCTTTTCTGAATTTTAAAATTTATCTGCTTGGGCAGGGAAAACTACCAGGGGAATTCTACACCTCCCATTCCTAAACAAAGATGGAAAGAAACTTTTTACAAGGGCATGTAGTGGCAGCATAAGGGAGAATGACTTCAAACAAAAAGGAAATAGGTTTAGGTTTGATATTAGGAGGAACTTCTTCACTGTGAGGGCAGTGAGGCCCTGGAACAGAGAAGTTGTGGATGCCTCATACCTGGAAGTGTTCAGGGTCATGTTGGATGGGGTTCTGAGCAACCTGGTCTAGTGGAAGGTGTCCCTGCCCATGGCAGGGAATTGGAACTTGATGATTTTAAAGGCCCCTTCCAAGACAAACCATTCCATGACTCCAATGTTAGCACTCAAGTGTGGGACTTACGTGAAATGGTTTTGCACAATCTCTTCACTGGCATTTTTTGGAAGACCAGTTATGAACAAAGTGCACTTAACCTGGGAGAGAAAATGTAATTACATTTTGTATATACAATCAAAATTACATTTTGATAAAACACATTACAAAAGAGAAAACAAGAATATAAAGAAGGCCAAGACACAGCACAGTTAGCTGTGTAGTAGAGCAGGAAAAAAGGTAGGTAATTCTGATTTTGGTGGGAGCTCATCTATTTAAGACAGCACCTTCTACACTGGTAATAAGTTACAGCAAAATTTCACAAATCCCTCCCCAATCCCCTTCTCTCCATTTGTTTTCACAATTCACTCAGTAGAGCATTGCTTTCAGTCAATTCCTTCACTTTTATGTTACATTCTAGCAGGCAGGAGGCACCTTAGCAATTTTCTTTTTTAGCATTATCCATTGGCAAATACACTTTTTTCACTCCAATACAGACACTTACTATGTTTTCCTCTTTATATGTGACATACTTCATGTGATGTCTCATGAAGACAACAGTCAGAATCAGGTAAACAACAGCAAAAACTGTGTGCAGCCAAAGAAGATTATTGCTGTCAGACAAAACAGAAATATGAGAAATAGGAAGAACCAGTTGTTCAGCTGATAGAAGCAGCCATCAGAATGATAATCAGATCAAAACCTCCCACTGAACACAAAATAAGGAAAAAAGTTGGTAGTCAGTCACACCTATGCAGATGCCTTGGACAACCAACAGGATTATTTGCTTCTCATAAAATTCTATGGGTCATGGAGCTAAAAAGAAAACAGATGCTCTATGACACGGACATATTTAGGCAGTGTTTGGGTTTTACTTTCTCATTCAGATGACATATATGACATATGATGCTATTTGCCAAAATGTTTGTTATTTGCTTTATTATTCACTGTGCTGAGTGCATAATTAAACTCTCCCTGAACATAATCCCTACTCAAATTGAAAACAGCCTCATATAGGGAGGAAATTCTGCTCTTCTGAAAGCTCCTTCTTCAAAGCTTACAGAAGTTCTGTTCTGTGAACAGCTCTTCAGTTTTGTGAAGAGCATTAATAATTGCAATTAAACTAAAATACAGGAACCTATTTTACAGGTTAAAAAAATCCCCATTAGTTACTTGGTTTCATAACATGGTTAAACAAAACAGAAATTTTACTGGCCATAGTGCCAGGGATGGATGTGGATTGATCAAGAATAAATCAGAAATTTGTGCAGCTTTGCACTTCAACTATTTTACAGACTTTTTAAAACACATTGAAGCAATTTTAATTGTGATCTCAGATGGGAGAGATATGCACACACATAAATCTAATGTAAGGGAATTTAAATCATCCCAGCTGCAGATTCCAGTAAAGCTATCAGCTTTACATTCCTTCTGAAGCATGGTTACCTTTAATGGGGAAATTTCTGAAAAGAATATCCCTGGGTGTGCAGTCATTAGCCAAGAGAAACACGTGGTGTAAGAAGTGAGAGCTGACAGACCAGAAGCCCACTCTCAGGATTTCTTATCAGCCCTGCAAGTGCACAGCCTGAAGCAGAACATATCCCAGTTTCAGCTGACAGACAGGGATTAAGTTATTCCAACCCCATGAGCCATGCTGCAATATCAATTCTTGTGTTTAGAGACCATGGAGGAAACAGACATCAGCACAGAGGGACTCTGCAAGACTCACCTGGTTTGTAAATTTACTATAGTTGTTCTTCCAAAACTATAGGGATCTTTATCTAAGAGAAACAAGAACAAGTAGGAAAATTAATTGGTAAAGCATTTACTGTCAGAAAGTCATCTTTTATTATATTTTTTAAAGAAGTTGATATATTTCTTTACAATGCTGAGCAAGTTCATTGATAAAATAATTTAGAATCATAATCAATGCTGGTTTACTCTGTCCTGTGTTTTAAAGTTGGAAAAGACACCCCTAGATTATACCACATTCAAGTTCAAGAAAAACAGTAGAGTGTTTTGAAAATCTGTACATTAGATCTTTGAAGCAGTTCTCTTTCTCCCTCCAAACTCCCTTCATGTCCATTTACAATATTGCTTAGGGATTGAACATATTTCCTTCACATTTTTCTTTCATCTTAACTGATTTCTTATCTCAGGCTTTTAAGCTGCATTAATTCAGTGTTGACAAAACAGTGCTGACAACCTTGGTAAGGTCAAAAATGAGTTTACATTTCATTATTTCAATAGACTGCCAAGTATTTAAAAAATTATAATGCAAGTGAGGGGAAACTGGGCAAATGACCACAAAGGAAAAGGAGTTTAGTGTATCTAGAAAGCCAAACAATCCTTCCAGCCCAGACTGTTAAACCACATTGCAAGTTAAGTCATCACAACTGAAAATGCACAAATCAGCTTACAGTGGAAGAGGAGGAAGAAGGGGAGAGATACTAAAGTTTGGTTTCTGCTGTATTTCCTAGACTCACAAAGGTTAATGCAGAAAAACAGAAGCTATATTGTCATGCTTTAATAAAAAGCTCATTTTAATATAACAAGAGAATTGCCAAGAAAGAGCTCATAAAAGAGAGGTCAGAGATGGAAGTGCCAAAGGTAAACAATACAAAAAGGAAAAGGTACAATGTGTCCTATTACAGACAAGAGCTGTGTCACAAGGCTCTTAAAAACCATGAACAACACTTGAAACATCTTGAGGAGACTGATACAAGGCCAGGTGTGAAATGGGATTCTAAGGGCTCATAACCAAAAATAGAAGAATGCATGAACAGGGTTTAACAGAGATCTCACTGAAAGAACTCAGGTTTTCCACCAGCAAACTGAATGGCAGACTAGAAGATATTGGAGGTGTCTCACTGGAAGACATAATGAGGACTAGACTGCAAGAAATATGAAATGAAATTTATCTAGTCAGCAGTGACAAAGTCTCTGCAAGATTTGTCCAATTTTGAGACAAAAAGCAAGACATAAAGGAACAATGGCAGACAGTGTAGCTAGATTAAAACAAAAATTCAAGGCATGGCTGATGATTTTATGATCAGCCAAATGGAAAACATTTCTCATTAGAGACCAAATTAACTGGTTTGTTTAAGAGAAAGAGGAAAAAGCAGATAAAAAAATGTTTATCACTCTCAAGCAGCTACAAGGATTTTGTAAAGAGGAAAAGAATAATCTATTATCTCCAGCGACAGATGAAAAAATTTATTTTAAATTAATTGAAAAAAAAGAGGTTCAGACTGGATACTAGAAAAAGATTTCTCAGCTGTGAAGATGTTTTCCATTGACTATCACCACCAATAAAAACCATAATGATCAACCCCAGTTAAGAGGGCATGGGTACAGTTAATCCTGCCTTGAGCCTTTTTAAGTCTTGTCATCCAAGTCTTATCTGCAATCTTGTTTCTGACAACTGATGAAAGAGCCCCCTACAACCACACAAATTCCACATCAGACTGAGGGGGTGTGCTGGGCTTGTGTGGCCAGGTTTTGGTAACAGAGGGGCTATGGGGGTGGATTCTGTGAGAAGCTGCCAGAAGCTTCCCCCATGTCCAAAAGAGCCAATTCCAGCCAGCTCCAGGACAGACCCACTGCTGGCTGAGGCCAAGCCAGTTAGGAATGATAGTAAGACCTCCATGATAACATGAAAAATGCTCCTGTGCAGATCTAAGTGCAGGCAGAGAAGAGCAGAGTGAGAATATATGAGAGGAACCAAGGTTAGGGCAGAAGGAAGGGCAGGAGGTGCTTCAGGCACCAGAGCTGAGGTTTCCCTGCAGCCCATGGTGCAGAACCATGGAGATGCAGAGATTCATCTGCATCCCATGGAGAAGACCCACACTGGAGAAGCTGAGAGGAGGCTGCAATCCTGTGGGAGGCCTGTGCTGGAGGATGGTCCTAACAGAGACCTGTGGACCCATGGAGACAGGAGCCCATGCTGGAGCAGCTTTCCTGGTGGGACTTGTGACCCTCTGGGGGACTCACACTGTGCATGAAGGTCTGCACCCTGTAGAAGAGTGACTTATGGTGCAGCAGTTTGTGAAGATGGCATCCAGCCAGAGTCAACCCACTAGAGTGGTTAAAATACCAGCTTATAAACTTATCAAAAAAAAAAAACTAAAAAGTTTTTGCTATTATATAAAATAAAGAACTGTTCTAAGAAGACAAAAGAATAAATCCTTACCAAGCAGATCACCTGAGAGGTTCACAGGCAATATCACACACACAGACAAAATGCTGATAGCAATCAGCAGGCAGATGATGTGGCGCTGGAAGGCGAGGTAATGGATGGCATCTTCCCCACACCTCTCATGAATCTCATCATCACTGCAGCAGCCAGAAAAACACATGGTCAGCTTACTTAATCTTCTTGGGAGTGGTTTATGAACATACATTAAATCCTGAGTCTACTTAGTGACATCCCCATTCCCATCAATCCCTACTGGCTTTCAAAATGGCTGTGTTCTTTCACGTGGAAATTCAGGTTCCAAAAGCGTGTTTTTCTTGTGCAATACCTCTGTACAAAACTTAACACTAGGGAATTGAAAATTGAAACAGTAATCTGAAAAGCAAATATGAATCCAAATTCTTTTGGACTAGAAGAAGACAAAGTCTTTTGCTGTGACTTCCTGCTTCATGCCAGTCACAAGCCTAGCTCTCCAAATTTAAGATCAGTGACAGTATCCACTCATCTCCATAAAGAGGCAAAATACCACACAACCACCTCATTCTTATGACACCCAGCTAACAGGAGATAGAAAAGGCTTTGGAATGAACTCTCACCATCTCTCCACTGTCAGCAGATCAGATCATCAGAATAGGAGAACTTAGAAAAGGAAGGAACTGAACTAGCAAAAATGGAGAAGGAAAGGCTCAATCCCCACTCCTTTCATATTTCAGTGTATCCAAACTGGAAATTGATTTTTAAAGTCATGATCTACTATGCCCCAAGAGACTTAAAGGACACATATCACATGTCTAACATTCAGTTTCTGGGAAACACTGGGATGGACTTTCCCTAGTTAGCCAATTACAGTCCCAACCAAGCTACCAGTTCTCCACAGAAACCCGTGCAGGGAAATCCCACTGCCTGCCTGGGGCCCTGCTGGCTTCAAACATGGGAACACCCACGAGGTACTCTTTGAAGGGTAAAATCCTAGAGTGTAATTATTAGCTCTGAATCCATATAAATGCTGTATATTCACTCAGATTCACATACTGTCCCAAGATTGGGAAGTCCCTGGGCTTCTAGCAGGACAACTGTATCCTGAAAAAGTATTCTCTTGTTTTCACTTCCTTTTTTCAACCAACCAGAGGCACCTCTATCAGTGCTTGTATTAAAACTCTCTCTACTCAAATGGGAAAATAACCCCTAACATTTTGGAATGGAAACCACCTTCCTAAATTAAAAAATATCAAAGCAAACCACAGCTCACTATTTCTGTTTCACATACTTACTGCATCCGAAAAGCAGCCGTAATCCAAGAACAAAACCCCTATAAATAAAATAAAATTTGAAAAAAGAAGTTTTTAGGACCTGACATACAAAAAATAGAGTCTAATCCATCCAATTAAGATAAGTATTTCTATTAAGACAATATCTTAGCTAAAAAGCTGGTAGCTTGTTGCTCTGAAAAACAAGGGACTAATACAAGTTAATTAGTTAAATGCTTGTTAAAAACACTGCTGTGATTACATTAAAAGAAAGGCTTCTTATATAGGTTTACAAATCCCCCAATGAAACTGGATAGCAGAATTCACATCTCACTGAGCATCCCACAATGATTCAAAAAAGCCCTTCTCTCTCAAAAGGGCTCCTCTTTCAAGTGAACATTATCCAACTAAATAGACACGTTACTCCACAGCTAAAGTTGCTTTATGGTTTTAAAAAGATGGAGTAAAGTACACAAATAGCAGAGCAATCCTGATCAACCACTAGTATGCTTTTGATGCTCACATAAATAATTAATTGCAAGGCTAGATATTAAGTTGATGCATGTATATGTAAAATGTTGAAAACTTAGGATGCCACCACTGGACAACTCTAGCATGGCTCATTCTGAAGTTGCAACACAAAATTATAGGGGTGTGAAAATTCAACAACTTCAGAAAGACCATGGAGGGAGCCAGTTATTGGCCAAAATATTACCCTCCACTTCAAACCATTTTGATTATTGAGAGTGCATAACATTATTATTAGCCTCACACTTGCATCCAGTTTTCTCAACACTGTGAGGAAAACAATGTACTGTGAAGAACAACTAGGTATTATTTGCAATGTGAACTCAATGTAACTTTTTGACCTGTCATCCCAGTACAAAAAAAAAAAAAAAAACCAAAAAAAAAAACCCCAAATCCGACTTAGAAACAATGACACAAGATACTGGTTTTATGATATGGCAATAGTTGGTCAGGAAACAGAGATTACGCATGGTTTTATAGAAACACAGTTGACAATGCACTATTAATTTTTGCATAGAGATGGACTTCCAGTTTAATGATGGTTCATTGAATGGCAAATTCCAGCAGATTCTATTCAGAAAGCATTATCAGAACTCTGGAATATTTACCTTATCATATTCAAGATCTTCAGGTACTGATGATGATGTTGACAGCCGGTTGTATCTTGATTCACTAAAACACATGAAATGATGCATTTAGGTAGCTTTAACAACAAATGATGGAGTTTTACAGAATTATTTCAACTTTAACAACTCTGACTAAGGGATGTAATACAAACACACCCTTTCACTTGTGAAAGCTGTGGTTTTCACCCTATAGCACATGGCTGATTATAGAACTTGTGTGTGTCTCCTGTTGAATAGAGAGGACACACGAGCTCCAGACATGAGAGCACAAGTGAGCTTGAAAGAAAATAACATTTTATCAGGATATTAAAGCCACAGTGATGTAACAGAATGCAACACAGGTTTGGGAACATAGCCAGGATCAGATTTGCAAACTGCCTTCCTGTTTGGATATTCCTCACTACAAGACATTACTTCTTTTCCCTCCATTTTTCTTCCTTTATGGTACAGCCATTACTCACATTTTCTCTTCACAACTAAATCCCTGCAAAGCCACCTCCTCACACAAACAGTCCCGTAGCAAGGCTAGAAACATTTAGAAACTCTGTAGCCCTCAAAAGTAGCAGAGGGCCTGTTTTCAGTTTGTTGCTAAAAAGAAATGTTGCAATGGTAATTACAGGAGGACACCTGTCAGATTCCTGGGTGTTCCTGGGTGTCTGTAATTGTGGCCAGCAGGCTCAGCTCACAGTCCAGCAGCACAAAAACAGAGGCTCCTGGGTGTCTGACTGCTCCAGCCTGTTGGTCCCAAGCCTCCACAGCACCTTCATGACAGCTGCCTCAGTCAGCTGGATTAAAGCCTGCTCAGTTATTGCCCATTCTATTTTACATCATCTATCTTTCACAACTGCCCATAGATTACACCTAAAACCAGGGTTTGAGCTCTTTCCAGTTGCTCAGTTGTGAATTTACCACAATTTGATTGCACCAGGAAGAGGCTTGCTGTTAAAGTTTCCTCACCTCACACACAGATATTTTGGATTTTAAACATCCCAACACATCATCCTACATTAAAAAAAAATCAAATGCTGATTTGAAATATTACTACAAATCAGTGAAGAATTTCAGAAACCTGCAGAAGTCAGTTTTTCCTTTTGAACCCTTGGGAGATTTTGTGGCACAGGCTGTGCAGGGAGCTCTGGGAATACACTGGGCTTGAGCCAAGATAAACAGAATGGTTCATATCCCTCTGTACAGAAGCACACTGCAAACATCAATGTGCAGCATGTCAGCAGACAAGCAGCCTCTTTCCTTCCCTCCACTTCCTTAACTCACTGCTGTAGGATGACATTCATAGCATTGGAAACACAGAATTATGGCTGAAACCATGGACAGTAACTCTGAGGGGGATGAATTCACACAAAGCAGTGTGAGGGCATTTTTAACAAACATGTGCAGGTGATTACAAGCATTTATAATTGATATAAATGCACCTAATATAAGCCACACTTACTGTACTCTCCTCCCCAAATGATTCAACAAGTCGGTCTGATTACGTATCTTATTTACCTTTCAACTTCTGACACCAGAGCAACACGACCATAGTCCCAGAATCTCTTCCTTATAATGGAAAACAGTAAGATTAAAATCTAGAAAATAAAAAAGGAGATATTAAAATATTTCTTTTTCCCATTTCAAAATAATCATTCTTAGGTGTGTAAGAAGTGACCAAAAATGCAGTCCTAGCTCCTAAATCAATTATCATTTATCAATCAATTATCATTTATATATCAATCAATTATCAACCAACTCAGTGGTGGCCATGCTACAGACCAACCTATCTCTGATCTCTGTAATGTATTTTAATCTGCCCCCTATATTTTCCCTTTTTGAAAGACACAAAGAAAACAAGAAAAAAACTCCATCACTGAGTATTTCATAGCTTCATTTCTTTCTTTTTTTTTTTTTTAAACAAATTCCTCTACAAAAAGCAATGAAGTGACAGGGCCTGTTTTCTTTGCATATGCAGCATACACCCTCACTTTCTGGTTCCTCCTCCATCCCATGGAATTCCTTATTCTGAACAACCTGTTTGGCTGGAAAGTGGTGTGAGTGATATAATTTACTGGGATCAAATACTGACTGGCCAGATTATCTCTGTGTCAAGATTACACAGCTCCATTTCCACATTTCACAATTAATATAACCTTCTTATGAGAGCCTTCCTCCTCAAAGGGAGGATTAATTTAGATTTTCCTCCTTCACCTGGTCATTAAACTTGGTGCAAGCAGGAAAGTTCTCTAGGTTCTTCACAACTCTGGTTGAAACTGGCTGTAGTATTCTACTGTTATTAGGCAGATAAACATGGGAAGAGAATGAAATATATAAACCTCACTTCCTTTGGAAACCAACCTAGAAATAACACATCAGAAACCCATCAACTGACAGTTCCTAAAAGGATATGCAGTAAAAATGTCATGAAAATAAGAATACAGGAGCTAATAGATAATTTTCAGTACTTGATACTTGAAGAGAAGAGGAGTCTTCTGCACTGCACCCAACTCTCTACCTAGCCCTGCTTGAGTGCAGAGTTCAACAGCAAGGAACTCAAAAGCAGATTCAGTGTCCTAAAACTGAGCCACAGCTTAAAAAAAAAAAAGGCAAACATTTCAAGTGAATCTTATTAAATGCTGTGCCACTGGTGACACAGAGCTGTAAATACTGTACATCCTCAGAAAATGGATTTATGGCAGCATACACCAAATCAACAGCAAAAATGTCACTAAATAACTCTGAGGAATATCCTCTACATTCCTATAAAAGAACCAGCTCAGAGCACAGCTACTTTACAGTTTCTTTACAGCAGATTTCTAGAACTCAGAAACTGTTATCCTTTTTGTCTATTTTATTACCACAGACCCTCTTCTCAGGCCAATTTGCAGGTCTGCAGCCCTTTTTTTCTGGTGGCTGAAGACCACCTAGACCAAGCTTACAAAAATAGCCACAAGTTTTAGAGCAGTTTCAGGTCTGTCCTGGAGCAACTAATCATATTCCATCTTTTCTCAGGACTGAGCTGGTCAGTACTTCATCTACAGCTTCACAAAATCTAATTTTAAAAAGCTGGTTTTTCAAAAGGCAATCCAGTGTGGAAAAACTTCACAACTGAGTTAGTAATGGTGTCCCCTTCCTGAAAATGTACTCGGTGCTTAAACCCAAGTGTTCTTGCAGTTAAGATGAAATATGAAAAACTGAGCTGCAAGCACAAAATTCACTGCCTCCACAAACAGATGCTGTAAAAGTGCACTCTCCCTACATCTACACATCCAAGATACAGTGGCACCACCATCCCATCTGTATGCAAACATTTACCAACACTTGAAAAGCACTTTGATGTTCCCAGGATGGCCTCAACTCATTTCTTATTCTGAACATTCTCAGAAACCAAATTCCAACCCAATGAATAAGGGAATTCAGAGAACAATCTCACTTTTAAGAAGGTCAGAAATACTTTCAGTAAAAGAAATAGAAAACTGGGCTTACAAAAAAGAAGGTTACATCAAGCAGCAGGACAGTTGGGATTCCACCAAAAGTGACTCCTTGGAGCACTGTGCTGCCCTGGGCAGTGCTGTAGCAGTAAGTCTCATTTGTTCTGTTGAAAGGATCACTCCTGTTCCCAAAGATGCCTAGATGAGAATGTCCAAAACCCAGAAAATAGAAAGGGTTCATTTTTTCTATCCCTTTAAAAAACAAAAAAAAAAAAGAAAAAGAAAAAGTGAAACAAACTTGTGAAAAGCTTGGTTGGTACTTGAGAGATATACCAATATTATGAGCATAAAAAGCGGAGGAAGATGCAACCAGAAAACTGCTTTGGGAAAGAAGGTGCCTTTGGCAATCTCTTCCCTTCACATGTGAAATGTTTTGCAATTACTGGCAGGTTCAGCTACCAGCAGTGCCTAGACAAGAATTCCAGACATCTAGGGAACCACATTCTCTTACAGAGATCTGAGGAAAACTGCAGAAGATCCCTCTCCCCAAAAAAACATTCCCTGTCATTTAATCCATAACATCTAACTGCATATTCCAGCCTGGAGTGTGATTCTAGGAATCACACAGTGTATTACATATTCCAATAACAACAGTTTAAAAATTTTGCTCCTAGTTGTTGAGCACGTGTGAATGCACCAGCTTGTGAACTTTGTATTTAAATGCCAAAACCTTGAGATCATTAATAAATTCTAACCACTAATTCCACAGAAAAGAGCCACTACACAAATACACATGTTTCTTTCTGTTCTTGGAATATTGGGTGATTTTCCTTTTTCAAAATAATTCAACTGAAAGGCCAGCACAGCTGGCCAGTTATTGCATGTCACAAACAAGGAAGAACAAAGAGTATTTCTCAGAGAACAGACATCTGCCTCATTTTAGTCAACTGACCTGATCAGATACCGTAGTACCATACAAGAATGCACCAGATTTGGCTATTGATACAAAGTTCTTTTTATCAGTGCAGGCAATTGCTCGTTTATTTTGGGGCTTTCCACTTCAAACATTTCCTTTCTTGGATCTTATTTACTTGCTGATTCCCAAGTATTGCTTCATGCAGAACACACTTCTGACTCATAAATTCACAGAGAAACCACTCCTCAAAAAACCCTCAATCCTTCAAAAGCAAATATTCTAGGTCCTCATCACACAGGTCCAGGGACATTACTTTCTGGATGTTTTGCCTCTAGCAGGAATGCACGTGTCTCTGACGAGATGCTGGAAACGAAACAAACAACAAAAAATACAAATAACTAAATATTCTCCTTTTAAACAGTGGGAAAACAGCACGGAGAGCGCTCCTTCCAAAGCAGCATTTGCTGAGTGTTGGGCAGCGCCACGCGGTGAGGAAGAAACTTTGTCTCAGCTGATGTGTTTCATCACAGAGAAGGGAAAAAAAAATAAAAAAGAGAGAAAGAAAAAAACCCTAACAACGCCCATAAATGTTGTGCCATGACTCTATCCTTGCTTTCTACGGACTGAAATTTAGCGCTGCCGGAAAACAAAGCGTTTTTGAGGAGCCTTGGGGAATCTTCAGCACAAGCCTGCGCGCTAAACTCCAAGCAACACGCTGGAGTTTATCAGACACGGCTCCCAACTCTCGAAAGCTGCTCTTTTTAAACAAGCCGGCCGCCAGGCAGATAAAGGGCACGGGAAGAGCTCCCACGGGTGGGGCTGCGCCGCAGGAGCACCGGGCGGGCTCCGGGAACAGAACCGGGTCCGTGTGGGGCTGGGAGCCCCCGGCGCTCCCGGCTCCGGCGGGGACGCGGAGCCGCGGCGCTTCTCAGGAGCGCATTGGGAAGCGCCGGGCTCCCCCCTGGAGGAGGGTGCGGGTCCCTCCGCTCCAGAGTAGGGTGCTCTAAGCCAGAGTAGGGTGCTCTGAGCCAGAGGAGGCTCTGCTCCCCAGGGCAGGGGGCTCAGCGCCCTGCCGGGAGGGTTCGCCGCTCCCGGCGCTGCCCGCCCCGACCCCGCTGAGGAGGGGCCGCGCTCACCTCGCCCACTCCCCTCCCCGCACAGCGCCGCTCCCGCCCTCCCTTACCTGCGCTGGGGCGGCCTCTCCTACCCCCGCCCTTCCTTTCCCTTCCCTGCCCTCCCGCCCCGTCACCTCACGGGCGGTCCCGAGATCCCGGCCCAGCCCCGGAGTTACGAGCGCCGGCAACAAGTCCCGGCGTCTGCGCATGCGCGCGCGGCCCGCTGTCAGCGCTCCCCCCACAGGCCGCTCCGGCCGGGACAGTGCCACCCTCCCCGGGATAGTGCCGCCCTCCCCGGGACAGTGCCACCCTCTCCGGGACAGTGCCACCCTCCTCGGGACAGGGCCGCCCCCGCTGGGACAGTGCCACCCTTGCCGAGACAGGGCCGCCCCCGCCGGGACAAGGCCATCCCCCGGGACAGTGCCACCCTCCCCGGGACAGGGCCGCCCCCTCGCCTCCCTGAGGGATCGGACAAAACGCTGCCGCTATTATTGTCCAGCCTGAAGAGAAGGCTCCGGAGAGGCCTTCTAGCGCCCACCGGTGTCTAAAAGCAGAAGCGAACAGAGCGTTTTATAGCACGGGAAATAAAACAGTCCCCAAGAAATGTGAGATAGGATTTCCAGAGACTTCACCATTTCAGGTCTGGTGAAGCGGGCAAGCATGCAGGTGGAAGTGGAGCAGGCCATACACTGAGATCATAGTATCGTGGAATGGAGTGGTTTGGGAGGGACCTGAAATATCATCAATATCGTCAATTTCCAACCATCATCGTCAATTTCCAACCCCCCACTTTGGGCAGGGACACCTTACACCAGATCAGGCTGGTCAGAGCTCCATCCAACCTGGTCTTGAACACTTCCAGGGATGGGACATCCACAGCTTCTCTGGGCAACCTCTTCAACCTCAGAGTGAAGAATTTTTTTCCTGTTACCTAATCTAAACCTACCCTCTTTCATTTGAACCCATTCCCCCTTGTCCTATCACTACATGCCCTTGTAAAAGCCCCTCCATGTCCATGTAGAAAGTCCCTCTCCAGCTCTCCTGTAGCCTCCTTAAGGTGCTCTAAGCTCTCCCAGGAGCTTTTCTCCAGGCTGAGCAAACCCAGTTCTCTCAGCCTGTCTTTGTAGGAGAGGTGTTCCAGCCCTTTGAGCATCTTCATGGTCTCCTCTGGACTCACTCTCACATATTTTTTGTGCTGGGGGCCCCAGAACTAGACTCGGCATTCAGGGTGAGGTCTCACAAGGGCAGAGTAGGGGGGAGAATCACCCTCACTGACCTGCTGGCCAAACCTCTTTAGACAGGTAGCTCTAAAATAAATTAACAAATTAATGGTACTAGCATGAACATTCCATGAAGTATGCATAGCCCCTTGTCTCCACACACAACTCATATGCTGTGAATTGGAAAAAACCCCAAGACCTTGGGAGTTTAGGTTAATGAGTCTGTGACAGAGTTGGGATAAGACCAAATCCCAGATATCCACAAGGACATCTTGTCCTTTAAGGGGTTCATTGCTTGCAGACAACAGGCCAGAAACACTGTACAGTAGCTCCCTGCTTTCCACCTCCTCTCTACACTTCATTGTAGTGTTCCCTCCACAGCCATTTGATACCCAGCATTGCCAACCATCCTCATCCTCCTGTGCCTTCATCCTTTGCTCCTGACTGGCAGGACGGCCCTCAGTGAGCAGCAGGCATGTGAGGAAGAGGAAGATTATGGTAATGATGAAAATGTGACTGTTCAGAGGGAACCAGGGACCATTTGCCTTCAAAGCTTTGCAGTCTCATGGATGAAGCAGCAGTGATGTCTTAGAACAGCAACCCACTCTAAAACCAACCAAAAATAATTAATGCAAAGTTTAGTCTGATGTTATATTGATCAAAACCTTGGTTATCTGCTGACTTTTATGTTTAAAAGGGATTAATGTCCCAGCTGCCAAGAAGTCACTATCTGCTCCATCTGACAGTGCTGATCCTGCCTCTCCATCTTTAACTCCTTGTGTTCCCATGTGCTCAGACTCCATGGATGACACAGGGCCCTGCATGCATGGCTGCTCTCCTGCTCCCTGCCACTTTATTCACCCACAATTGTTTTACTCTGCCAAATCCTTGTTTCCCTTTCCAGGAGTGCCCCTCAGTGGAGAGCAACATCTGGCTGTACTTGTGCTATCTGCCTTCTCCACTTCATCCCACAAAAAGGACAAAGTCCTGGTTATCTGCAGTCACTGAGAGACATTTCAGGACAGAATTTCATCACTTACCTAGCAGATGCATTGTAGATAATCTGTGATTTTAAATTGACTGTAATAATTGTGCCAGTTAGAAAATGACATTAAAGTTCTCAGCTCAGAGTGGTTCAGATTCACTGCTGGAATAAAGAAATCCCATTGGTATTGAAGCATGCTAGTTTTGCCTTTAAACACTCTCTCTCCTCTCTAGGCTGTGTTGGTGGGAAAGTTGTTTGGCACGAGTGTTGTAGAGTTATTGTTGCATCCTGTCTTTTCTGGAACAACTCTTCCTGTGGACAACTTATTTCAAAACAGGATTTCACAGTGGAATAATTGTAATTAATTTCTTTTAAATTAAGCAGATCCACCATGTAGGTGAAGGCTAAGTGTATGCTTGCAACTCTTCCATTTCTAGGATCAAAATCTGCTTGGGTGGTTTTCTCACTGATTTCCTAAGCTGTTCATACTCTTGATTCTTGCCAGGTTTTTCAAAATTAGGAAGGCCTTACTCTGGTTAGATTATCTTACTCTGTAGTGTAAAATAGGTAATTTTCAGTGATCTCAACATTGTAATCTTGACATTCTTCAGTATGATGACTTTTGCCTAGCTGCAAAATAATTTTTCCCTCTCTCTCTCACAAGAATAACATCAAGCTTTTGTCATTTGTTTTTGTTCTTCCTCTGTCTAGACAGGCTCTTTAGCTAAGTGGTGTGATTTTGTTTATCTCTAATTTTAACAGCAGAGTCACATTTCCCTCCTCCCTACCTCTTGTAAATAGGGTTTTGTTTACCACTGTCTGTTCTTTTGGTGACAAAAGCCACACACTGTCATTAGTTCACAAACGTTTAATTATGTTGCCAGAGCAGATGGAAAACCACCCTCAGGACCTAGGGAGCAGGTCAAGAGACTCTGAAATCCTTCCATCTTTCTTTTATTTTACATCCTCCATATCCACTTCAGCAGCTCTTTAGCACCAGGTTGAACAAGTGTGCAGGGTATTTACACTTCCACGTGTGACTCTTCCCTTGCTTTATTAAATGACCTTATGGCTGGAGAGCTCCCTTGTCACTTCAGTTTGATTTATCACAGCAGGATGTCCCCTGATGGGTGAATTCCCAAGAGGACTTCAATGGTCTCTGGAGGTGAGTAGCAGGTGGCCTGAGCTTTGCCATGCATGGCAACCCTCAGCATGGTTTCTCTCCTCTGAAGAAGCTCATCAGCCCAGCTTGCTGCTCCCTACTTATCTGCCTATTCAAATATACCTTAATGGATTTAATTCAGGCTTCCAGCCTGGCAGCCCTTTGCTAGCTTTTAATCTTTGCCTTCATCTGGAAACCTGTTTATGAGCCTCAATGCACCACAGGACATAGTGTGGGCATTGTGGGGTTTTCCTTTGAAAGGTCTGAGCATTAAAGTGTTTATAATATAGAAAACAAGTAGAAAAATCTAGGCAGATACACGGATTTAAATGTCATAATACAGATCAGCAATCAGCAAGTCTTGATTTTAATTGACAATTTATCCTTCTTTTCTCTCTATTCTTTTTTATTGTTTTTGGCATGCTGCTTCTCATTCATAGGTAATATGTTGACTTTCAAGATAGAAAATGTCTTGCATTAAAGTTGGAATGTATTTTTATTAATCTATACAACAGATTATTATACAACATATTTAACCAAATATATCTAGCAATATATGATAGAAATTTGCTTTTCTTTTATATTTTATGTCAGATAGGAAATGGTGAATGTAGCATTGGTATTGATGCTTGAGCATGATTCATTTTCCTTGTCATCTTCATCAAGTTATACTTGGATGAAAACTGGAATTTTCTTAAAACACACAGGAAACTGCAATCTAAAATAGCAATGCTGAAAAGTACAGGAGGAAAAAGTAGGCTTATTACCACACACTTTGCATAAACTTGATTTATGAAGTGGTGAATCCACAAGCTTCCTCATCACACCTCTGGGCAGGGTGAGGTTTTAAACCTTGGTTTCTTTGGAGTAGTTGCAGGTGTGGAGAATCCCTTGCTGATATTGTTAGGTTTATTGTCAGCCTGTCACAACGCAACCATTGT